GAAGTTTTAGCAATGATCGCGTCCAGTTTTATGTTAATGTTAATGTATTATATCTTCGTGTTGTTGTTTCAAATGTGTTAGTGTTTGTAATTACGAATGTATTATGTAATAATTTGTTACTCATAAATAATAGAATTTGACTGTAATATTTATAAATAAATAAATATTTCCAACACGCACATCAATTAGCCTAGCTCCAAACTAAGCACTGTAGGCTTTTGTTATGGGATACTAGGGTAACAGATAGAATAGATATACTATATAACATATATAAGTATATTTATGTAGAAATACATATTAAATATCCATGACTGGAGAACTAATGCTCGTATTCATCACACCTGGACCTGTCGAGTTGGCGATACCATGAAACCCGGCGTTCAAACCACTCGACCACGGAAATCATCTCATAAATCGTATAAATTACAGGCTGCTGTGTAACGTAGCGTTCTGACAACTTTCAAGTTTGGTGCGAAGGGGCATAGTTAAGTCTCAGGATGATACAGGATCAAGTACCGCCCCTTTAATATCATTGGCTGGTTTTCGCAGCAGACGCAACTTCTTTTCAAAATTTCAATAGTCGTTTCAGTTTCGCATGAAAAGCGTCGAAAAAAGATGGCGCTGACTGCACTTGGTGACCGCGAACCAATGGCAACAACGTCCAATCAAAATGCAGATCTCGAGCTACGGTGTTGCCAGCTCCGTGTCACACAAGCTTTCAGTCCTTCAGGATAAAATGATGACAGCTAATGTCAGGTCTTGGTCTTCTTTGTTAAGAATGACTATCATATTTCTTTTTATAAATTTTTTGGGATTGGCACAATCATAAGCATTAAAATAAAAAGATTTGGTATTTCTTTTATTTAAATTTTATTGAGGTGAGTGGAATTCCATCAGTTTCGACGCAGACTTCGCGATACGCCAGGAATATTTTCTGAGTTGGGTTTTATTACAGGGCACATAGATGAATGATTGGTTTCGCTTCGAAGCGACCAATCATTTATCTATGACAGGACATTTATTTATTACAGGGCTCAAGTGTTGAGCCAGCAACTTCAGCCAGGAATATTTAGGAATCGGGTTGAGGGAAGCAGGCGGCTGAATGACCTTCTAAAACAGGAAGACGTTCAGCGAGAACCTGGTAAGCATCATCACCTAAGTCACGCAGGATAGGTTTTCCAAAGTACCTTCAAGTTATTGATCCTACACGCTTTTATTTCTTCTTTTTCTTCATGTTCCTCTCCAATTACTGAAGGTTGGACATCAGCCTTGAAAACTTCGCTTTGTCCCTGGCGCGGTGAAACAATTCCGCGGCGCTCTTGACACCGGGCCACTCGCGGATGTTTCGAAGCCACGACGGCCTACTCGACGTTTCCCCGAAATTTTGCCCATCATAATGAGTTGCAGTAAATAGTATCTCTCGTGTCTGAAGACATGACCGAGGTAGGCAACTTTTCTTATTTTGATGGTCTGCATCAATTTGCGAGTTTGACCGACACGTCTTAGAACTTCGACATTTGTAACTTTTTGAGTCCAGCTGATTGAGAGCATGTGTCGGTAAGTCCACATTTCAAATTCCTCAATACGTCTACGAAGGTCCTCTTTAATAGTCCAAGCATCGCAACCATAGAGGACTATAGGCCAAATGTAGCATTAAAGTAAACGAGAGCGCAGGGGAATACTGATATTGCGATTGGACAGTATTGATCTCATTTTGTTATAGGCATTGCGGGCGAGCTATATTCGTGTTTTTATTTCCATATCACTTTCCCAGTCTTCAGTTAGCGAAGTGCCTAAATATTTGTATTTGCGCACTACGTCAAGCTTTGCTCCGGAGACATTAATATTTGGACTTAAATTATTTCCTTTTGAGATGACCATGACTTTTGTCTTGTGCGTTCATTCTTAGTCCCGCCCTTAAACTGCACTCATTCAAACGGTCCACTATCACCTGAAGATCCGCCGCCATGAGGACAGTATCATCAGCATACCGGAGGTTATTGATAACACGTCCGTTAACTTTACTATCGCAGTCTAGATCTGTCAGCTTTTGTATCAGTGACGGGAAATTATAATTTCATTATAGTTGTGTATTAGCTTGGAATTGGTACCATTAGGACGAGGTCCACCACGGCCACGTCACCTGCACCGGCTGGTTGCCGACCACCACATTTTAACTCCTAATGATCTGGCAGGGCACAAAATATGCTCCCAAAAACATTCGGTGGCAATAAGGAACACACACAGGTTGGTGCATCTTACCTTTTAATTAGTTTAGTAGGCGTCTGAACCGTGGTATCTCCATTTAAGTATTGATTTTTTTGGTAAATTACTGTAACTTTTACCTTTTGCGGCCCAACACATATCAACTATTGAACCCATTGAAGCGACTCCTATCGGGAGCTAGTTTTGTTTTTATTTGTTGTAGGTTTGAGTAATAATATAATATAGACCGTTCAACCTACAACCTCTTTTATTTTCACCCCTTTAGTTTACTTTTACTTTGCCTGGTGGCTCTCTCAGGCAATATTCAGAGGGCTCCCCGTGGCAACTGATTAATTGGCCGAGAGCATCCCCATCGCCTTGGTCAATAAAATATAGTTATTTGATTTTTAGCCAATAAAATTTATCTGCCATAAAACTGAAAATCAGAAAATAATAAACCTTGTTTATCTTAAGTCAAATTAATATTTGGAGTCAGTGCCATGCATGTCTGATGGATCTGAGTTCCCATTTACTACTTGGGTTGGCATAGCACCGACTCCAAATATTAATTTGACTAATGAAAAAAAAGGTTCTTTCTGTTTTTCAGTTTTTTTCGGCGTTGTAATTTTTTTTCTGAAATTAAATGCAACCTTTTTTGGCCATCTTAACAAAAGAAAAGCTTATAAATGCTTAAAAGATTATTTTTCATTCCTTTTTGTGGCTTTAATTTTTGTAATATACAAATCGACATCAATATCTGTGAGTAAACAATCAGCTCTATTTCCACACCCTTAGGGTAAGATTTTTGTTTCCAAATTTACCTAGGACCAACTTTGAGGTGTACCCTATCCAATAATATCCGGCCTAGTGCGTATCGTGCCACGCGCAGTATAGGGTACCGTAGATATTTTATTGTGTGAATGAATGACCATGAAAAAAAATCACACATGTAAGGGAGCTACTAAAAAAAACTTTTTTTTCAAATTAATATGGAGTGTAATTTCCAATAAAAAAAGAGTTATCAGGATCAGACTTCTCTGTAAAAAATATATAAAAAATTACACGCGTCGACTTGAAAACCTCCTCCGTTTTTTTTCGTCGGTTGAAATGAGCCACGTTAGCTTAACTTTGATAAGCTTATTTTTTTACTGAATATTAAAAGTTACTTTAAAAAATAAGAAGATTTCTAAATCATATTCACAAATCAAAAATGTGAAGTTGTATTTTAGGTTCCAGTTTGAAATTCATACGGGCTAGTCATAGCTTCATACATTTATTCACAATTTTAAAGGCAAAGAAATATGTGTGAATTTATCCCGTGGCTAGAGAGGATTGCCAAGCGTCGCAAATTAAAATGTCGTGTTCTTCAAACATCCAGAGCGTAGCTAATGTAATTGCTTTGAACGTGCAACGCGAATAAGGAAACATAATTATGCAAAATTTCTGACCTCTTATGAATAACGTCTTCTGTTTGTGTAATCGATTTATTTGTCTCAATGAATTAATATTTTTTGCATTATAGTATAGGTAGCGGCAAACTTTTTGTGTATAATCACATAATAAAAACTAGCGCAGAAGACGTTTTTGTATATAAAATGCTCCAGCGCGCGCAGGCTTCCTTGTCTATGGACGATGCTCATGAAGATCGCCGGGTTATATTTTTCTAAAACGGTAATCGTAATTTAAGAGGAGATCAGTACTCCCGGCAGGGCAGCTACCGACTTAATATCTGCTTGAACACAAGAAAATAAATTGTTACTATATGTTCGCACGAACCATTTAATCCACTGTGACACATATTGTAAACTTAGAGGTAACTAACGCTTTATCGGTTGGACCCACTAAACAGAACCCTTCTCAGTTTCGGTGGTTTTATAACCGTCGTGTAGGTATATATCTACACATTTAACAGCCTGTTCTGTAATTAATTGAAGGTTTTATATTTTAGTGGGTCTTACAAGTGTAGGTAAGGGACTCACGGCGCGGTTTTCACCCACGGCCTCTGCGGCTGTAGGACCGCAACTCTAGATGAATGTGAAATTGTAGGTTAAACACAAAAGCATCACAGAGCGCGCGGGTCCTCGCGGATCTCGCCGCGGCTGCGATATCGGGCGAAGTTTTAGCCGCGTTGAAAGCAGCAGAAAACTGCGGTCTCATGAGTTATGAAATAAAACAAAACCGCTCCGTGAGTTCTTAGCCATGTTTATACTTTATAGTACATACACACACATGGTGCCCTGTAGCTTAAAACCGACACGGCTTAATTTTATTTTTTTTAATTGATCATTCTTGCTTGCCTTGACTTGATAAGCAAGATAAAAATAACTTTTTTAAACAAGCCGAAGTTACGGAAATACGGAACGGTTCCCGCAATAGCTTCGTGGATATTGGTTGAAGCTTTTTATTAAATTAAATTTATTGACACTTAGTTACAACAATCAACAGTTTTATAGGTATTAAGTAATTATAATTTCTGTTGATTGCACTGTTCATTTAATAAAAGTTTCGAAAAGAAATTGTTGTGGTTTTATGGAACCACGATGCAAGTGACACTATTAAAATCATGAAAAAAGCCCTTCCTCGGTTGGGGTTCGAACCCGGGCCGCCTTCATATAAGGCGAGCTTTGTGCCATTGAATCACTGATGCTCGTTGATAGAGTCTGATTAACAATCAACAATATAAAAGTAAAAAATATAAGGTAAAGTAGAACGAAAAATATTGTAGCGGTGTAATAAAAGTTTCACTTTAAAAAGCTTTAGGCACATCACAGATTCGATACACGTAATTTGCTTACCAGTGACTGTATGATGTCATCGGGTACATTGCGCTTGTGGGCACAAAGGCTGTAGACTGACGAATGGCTGAAGATGACAGGCGCCCTGGACACCCTTATGGCTGCCCTGGTGGTATTCTCACCCACGTGGGAAAGATCTACCAGCATTCCAAGACGGTTCATCTCTTTGATCACTTTCTGTTAACAATATCTCACATTTTACAATTGCTATTGTGTGTCTATAACTAAATGTGTCTATAGTACTATTGTAAGGATTACAATTCGCTTGGCAATATTTAATTTTAATTAAATGTCTTAATTACTTGAACACTTTATTCACTCAAATTACCTTATGATAGTTGGTGCTGATATATTCCTTCATCACGACAGATTTGCAAAATGTATGAGTTTTTTGTTTAGTTAGTTTCAAAAAAATGCGGCGCCACCTTTATCACTACTGATACTTAAATTTTCTATGAAATCATATTTCCGTACGTCTGCGTGGCTTTAAATTGGAATAATATTTAAAAGAGCACTCAATATTTAAAGAAATAAAGACTTAATGTTACTTGCATGCGTATTCAATTAGGACAGATCAAAAGGAACCACTTGATTCGTGATAAAACTGAATTGAAACACCAAATCCGTCGGGAGGGCGACTTTCAAGCGCATTAACCACTTTCTGCATTGTTCGGAAAATGCAGCAGTGGTTTTTCTTACCCAGAAATTGATATGTTTCAGATAGGCAATGGTTTTTTCAGTAGGTCAATCATACTAGATACCTCATTTTTGGGGGCCCTTCTCATGTTATTGCCACTGATAAACTACTGAACTTGTTTTATTTCATTATTAACACCTAAAATTATGCTTAAGGTTACGATACTCTCTAAGCCTCCTAAGTGGTACGAAATCACCGGGTCAGCCACATAGTTACAATTAACATTTTAAAAGCCCTAATAGTCCAGGAAATGTAGCGTTTTGGGTCGCAATTTTTTCGTCCTGCATAAATTTACTTGAAATTTTGACAGAAGATTGGGAATAGCTCTAGAATAAAAATTTATATCATGCCGAGGGGCGCTTTTATCAGGGGGTGGTTGCCCCATCTCGGGGGTGGACTTTTTATTACTTTTAAACTACAGAAATCGATTAAAAAGTTAATTCTAAGTAAAAGATGTTCTACATATTTTTATACATATTTTTACTTAAACTAATATTTTTCGAGTAATTTGCTATTGAATTGAAAAAATTGTAGCTTATCCAAAAAAAAAACAGTGAACACAACCCTCTTATTACCCTTCTTATTCAATTTGATCTATGCCCTTTCGCGATTCTCTTTACATATGTATTATAGTTAGACCAATTTAAAAAAGTTAATAAAAAACAATTGAGCTTAGATTGCAAAACTATTTTTCGCAATTTCTTAAAAAAGCCCTTTTCTTCAAAATAACTCCAAACATACTGGAGTCTAAAATGCTATTTTATAAGTTTTGACAATTGTGGGTAGCTTTACCCTTAAAACACAAACAGCGCCCATCGGCATGAAATAGATTTTGAAGTAGAAGGGTAAGATGAGCCTAATTCCAAATCTTTATTCAAATCATTGCAGGACGTAAGAATTGCGAGGTTTTGCCGTTTTTTTGGGCTTTATTTCATGGACTATAATAACATTGTATTAAACGAGCATTGAGTATGCTCAAAGAACAAAATAATGTATTTAGCACAAAGTACTGTTAATTATTTCGGATGGTTTGTTATTTCATATGACAAAGGCGTTCTCATAGCCCGAAAGTTGGAGCGGTGCACATTTAGAATTCACTTCTCCCTGTGTCACACCGCCGGGGGTAATCACTAACTTAACTGGTCCTCAGGTCACGTGGCAAATTATATTCATTAAATTGAACGACCGTTGGATTTAAATCCATTTTAGCTTAGGGATTATTACGTTAGTCGAGCGACTGTTAAATGGTGTAATCATAGATAGTCATAGTACTCTCTGAACTGTGAAAAGAGACACAATATCCTATTTGCGTGATTCCATAATTTAATTTCTGTTACTCCGAAATAAAATTATTAAAGTCTTGATACGAGTAATTTAAGCTTAGAGTTTTTAATTGATTATGGAAACATTTGATAATATTATGGAATAATTTATTAATTATATACATTGAATAATTGAAATTACAAAAGCTTAAAAGTACTTTTTTTAATTATTTTTTGAAGGGTTTTTTCTATTATAGACCATGTCACCCTTATCGTTCTAACCTTCTACCGTCTTCTTATACAGAATGATACAATTTTATACAAAACCTTAATTATTTTGGAAAAGGGTCTAGACAGTATGCTGTTATATAAACCAACATCCATTACTGTCAGCTCCGGGAATTGGTTAAAAAGGTGGTATCTTTCCGCTGCAACCCTCGTACATTCAGCCATCACATGCCACACATCTTCGATCTGATCAAGTTAAAACTAATTAATGTCTTAAAAAATTAAATCAAAATATTACTTTATTGCAATACTTACTAAGCCTTTTATATCAACGTGAAACAGAATTTCATTGTTATTAGCGTTTTTGAAAGCCGAACGACCTTAATTAGACGGGTATAACCGCAAAGATTCATAATAACGCCCTTGGCACCCGTTACGTTTGGTTATGTTTAAAACGCGAAAAGCTCCTTATGAAATTACGTTTCTCATTCGGCTGCTGCGATATTTCGCTTTCCATGGAACTCATTACCATTTCATAATAAGATGTAGGGTAGGTGGGGTCAACATCTCACTGGAATTTCTAACGGCGCTGGTGCTTCACGATTTCCATCTGATCATAACTTCGACTGAGCCGTGACTTTCATTTCGTTGTTCGTGATCAATATTTACGTAAGTCGCTTCATTTTACGACATGATTAAAGGATGGGAGTGAGAACATTACATAAAGAAGCCAGCTGTAGCGTTCTTTTTTTGTTTTTAAAGTTTAAAAGTTTCGTACCTCACAATGAAACAGGGAACATTTATAATAAATATAATTTCATTGGCAGACTGTCGGTCGATATATCAAGATCTTTTTCAAGTTGATATCAATATTAAATGATCGGGGTTGCGATTCCTTCAATGATATGGTTCGAGATGTGAAATTATTAAAACTTTTTAGTGAAGATATTTTTATTTAACTTGTATTAATTTCAAACAAAAGACAATTTTTTTGAAAATGTTATTTAGCATGATATTTGTAGTTTCGTAGTATGAAAAAATAATTAATAAAATTATTGTTTATTTGTTTGAAAAATATTTTACTTTCTGGTAGTTCACAAGGCGGTAAGGGCCGGTAAAATTATAACTTTATATTTTATTATATGTATAGAGAATGTTCGTGATGAGCGTTCTGGCGACGTGAAAGTCTAATTATTGACCTAAATTGGGTTTCATCACGTACATTGATTAGTTCGGAGTCCCGACCTTAATTCAATGACAAGAATGAGGATTTTCTAGAGAATATACTCTACTTTTTTTGTGCAACCTGTTCTTTAAACTTAAGGAGTTGAAACACTCATAGTGAATGCATTAAAGTTTAACTTTAACATAGATATTGTAATCATACTGCCATTGCGAAAATAACTTCAAACAAAACGAACGTTCTTGTTTATAATATATCATAACATTGAATATGAATAGATTTGTTTTTGTGTTGACAAAATATAACTCCGTCATCGATAAAAGTGTTTTAAATATTACATTAATTTTCAAACCCAACTTTTAACGTAACCCTTGATTAATTTTCATTGAATAATTTGATAATGTCTGTCTCTAATGTCTACACTCATCAGTTACGGGAATCGATTCTTATGTCCTGTCATAACTCATGAAGGAATCCGGTATGGCACGACCCTCGATTCATTTCATTCCGCAATATCTGCTACAAATTTAATAACATGGTAATGAGATTCAAACGTGACGACCAGAGTATTTTATTTCAATTGCTACAGAGAACGAATAGAATCGTTCTTTTCCTTTTGGGAATGGAAAAAATATCATTAAAACAAGGGATTGGCCAAATAAATTTGGGATTAACGAGAAATTGCCCAATTTTTTTACGAGATTAAAACAGAAATCGTTAGCAATGTTTCTCGTTTAAAACAGACTGTTTTACATCGATACTGTAATATTTTGTTACATTTTTCTTTTTGGTAGTATACGTAATGTAATTAAAAATATAAAAAACGAGCTGATCTAGCGAACTTCGTGCCACCTAACAGACGATTTATGTGGTTTTCTATATTGACGTGACAACGTCTTAAATTAGGTTGTGGCTGGGAGTCACTTATGAAAAAGTGTAACGCTCGGTAACGTTACGATGAGTCTCTCGTGTTAAGTTTAAGTTTACATGTACAATGTTTTAGTAAACAAAATATATTTCTATAGTTAAAATTTGTGCAATTCTTATTTTCATTCAATTCCTTGTTCCTATTGTGCAATTTAATTATATTCATATCAATAAATATTCTACCGAGAAAAAGACGTTGTCACGTAAAATCTTCGCCCGTAAAACCGACTTTACAGGCAACCATTTTTTTTTTATATTAACTAACGATTTTACAACCGCAATAAAATATATATAAAAAAACTCAATAGTTTATCAGAATAACAGATAATGAAATTTCAATGACGTGTACGCCAATGGCGTATCAGCGCAATTTTAAATTGGTTTCCAGGTATTTGTGCAATATTCCCCAAACGCAAACAGAGCTATCATAAATTCTCACAGTACCTTAAGACTTTTTGAGAAATTAGTTAGGAATGGTTCTATATTTGTGGACATTAAAACCAAGTAAAGTGAATTTATAAAAAAACTATGATATTGATACTAACGTACAGTTCTGCACCCCTAGCACGAACCATTATCGAATTAGAATAGTTTTCTAACCGAAATGTCAATATCAAATTTTGTATTGAAACTTGAACAGCAGCGGCACAAAGTACGTAACGAGAACTAAACATCAGTACAATTTGAGAATGATATTTCGGACTCACAAACGATACGAATTCGATATTGGTTCGTGCTAGAGGTACTGAAGTTCTATCTATCTATCGTCTTCTTATTAAAATATCGACAAGTATGATAAAACCGTGTCTTATGATTTGAGAATTTTCTTTAAATTATGATATCACCCTCTATAGTGATCTTATCTATTGTATCGGCTACTTCCCACATTTTTCCTTTTGGCTTCTTTTTACTATAATGTATCTAAATGATTCTTGAAAATTGATGTCTGCATAATTTTTTTCCGTGAAAAATGGTAAAAATTCCGGAATTGTAATTATTCTGTTATTCGAGGCGGAGAAGAATCCAAAAAAATACAGATCACACAAAATTTGTTCTAGATTTTCTTTTGTTATAAGTGTTCTAACAAATATACGACTTTGTTTTATATATTATACTAGCGGCCCGTCCCGGCTTCACACGGGTGTATTAAATAGTATGTAAATATAATGAATCAGCATTTATATCTAGAATACAAAGAAAATAAACAAAAGGAAACAGTGGAAGAGCTTTTCACTATATATCGAAAAAACAATTTTACAAAAGCTACACAAACAAATTTGAAGGACGTAAATTCAATGAAAGAAAATTCAGTTCCACACGCATCGCTTAGAAAACCTCGGTTTTCATTCTACGGCATTCAATTTTCGATTTTTTTAAATTTTCGAATACTGCTTACGTCACGTTCTATTGTGTCTAGCGCTTGTTCTTTTTTTTTAATATTGTGTTGGTTCTGCAATGAGAAAGTCTGAAGCCACTTTTTTTTATAATTATTTATATAGGTATGGAGCATTACAATGTCACCATCCGTATATTGAATATCTATAGAAATACCTACTATATAGCTGTCCCAGCGAACTTCGTACCGCCATAAAAAATAGGGGTTGGTGGTAGAAGGGTGAAAATTTAGGGTTGTATGTATTTTTGTATGACGATGGTCCAAAAAAATTGTTTAAGTAGGGACCACCCTTAACATTTAGGGGGATGAAAAATAGATGTTGTCCGATTCTCAGACCTACTGAATATGCATATAAAAATTCACGAAAATCGGTCGAGCCGTTTCGGCCAATAGTTAAAACTGTCTTTATCAGTTATTAATAAAATGTGAAAAAATAATTATTGCACTGGAAATTAATAATAAATTCACGATGAGAGTAAAATTAACGTAATAGATGCACAGAAAAAATAAAATAATACGTATAAGTCACTGCTACGATCGATACACAAATGAAATCAAAAAAAAATGGCCGAAATCTGTATATTGAGGAAGACAGGAGACCGGCTTCCTTCTCATCCCTACTCCGTGATGTCTGCTGGATGAGAGGTGACCCAGGTAGACATCTAGCGGGGATAACTGATCTATTGATCGTTGATCGGATATCGACCGGTGAAGGCGGAAGATCAAATTGAATTGAGAAAAAAAAAAAGAAATTATTAAAAATAAAAATCGCGATGGTAAAATAGGGGTTGATTGTAAAGTGTAATTGTAGGGTGTAAAATTCAGGGTTATAAGTATTTACTAATGCTGTATCATAATTTTTTTTTATCTAAAATTGAAAAAAAAAATTTAGGGTTGGATTACCCTTAACATTTAGGGGGATGAAAAATAGATGTTGTCCGATCTGTCCCAGCGAACTTCGTACCGCCATAAAAAAAATATGGGTTGGTGGTAGAAAGGTGAAAATTTAGGGTTGTATGTATTTTTACTAATGCTGTATCATAAAAAAAAATAAAAAAAATCAAAAATTGAAGAAAAAAAATTTTTGGCGTGGATTACGCTTAACATTTAGGGGGATGAAAAATAGATTACATCCGATTCTCAGACCTACTGAATATGCATATAAAATTTCACGAAAATCGGTCGAGCCGTTTCGGAGGAGTTTAACCACAAACGCCGCGACACGAGAATTTTATATATTAGACAAGCTGGCCCAGCGAACTTTGTACCGCCATAAAAAAATATGGGTTGGTGGTAGAAGGGTGAAAATTTAGGGTTGTATGTATTTTTGTATGATGTATCATAAAAAAAAAAATTAAGGTTCGATCAACCCTAAAATTTAGGGGGATGACAAATAGATGTTGTCCAATTCTCAGACCTACTGAATATGCATATAAAATTTTACGAAAATCGGTCGAGCTGTTTCGGAGTAGTACAGTTACGCACACCGTGACACGAGAATTTTATATATTAGATATATCGCAGTCATCTGGTTGAATCTGCTATTTGATTGAATGACTAGCGCGTTCATTGAATGATGACATTTAATTGAATGACTAAAGGACAACTCGTCAAGTTGTTTAACGTACAACGTCATTTAGCATAGTCGTTGAATGGGATATAGCCGATCATATTATTTAGGACCGATTCGTGATAAGTGGATTAGATTAGGTAAGTGTTGTGACCTGAGCTTAGCGCGAGTCGAGCGAGCGAAGCGAGCATGCCGCGGCGGCTGCCGGCGAAGCGCCAGCCACCTGGTAGATAGATAGATAAATAAAAAGGTATTTGTAGGTTTTTTTTCTTTCTTCCTGCTCTTTGACGTCATATCTATCTTGATGACAACTGGCGCCGCAGTGGGAAAAATGAACTAAATTTCAATCACCTCACTAATTTTACTTCCGCTCTGTTCAAAGGTTGGACGTTGAGTGACGTTTATTCAATGCATGTTCAATGCATGCGTCATTCAATGAACGCGCTAGTCATTCAATCAAATACCAGATTCAACCAGATAACGGGGACATATACAGTTATATATACATATAAAACAAATCTCTATTACAGATTTAAGACTAAAAGTTCAATCAATTCAGAGAAAAAGTCGCGAAGCAAGATTAATTAGATTTTTAATTTGGTTACAAATTTGACATGGATTGTGATGAAACTACTAGAATGGATAATTTGGAGCCCTACCATAAACGCTAAGCAGGGCTCTTTTGAAGCTTTAAATCAATTACGACAGCCTTTAAAATAATACACATATCTCTGAACTACAAGTTATGCCATCAAGATATCTCATGCCCCGTACCCGTAATAGCCAAATTGTGACGCACAAAACGACTAATAAGCTAATGAACCTTATTTGGATAAATACGATTATGAATTTCGTATACCTAAAGAAATAAATAAAAATATCACTTAAATCGGATATTCCCTTTCAATTGGATTTCAAACGTTAACATTTTATGGTAGGGAGTGGCCAGTCAATTGCGAACACATTAATCATAAATTTGTGAAAAAATCTTTTCGCCTCTGCAATAAAGATATACATAAGCTTAGCCAATAGCTATAGTGTACGGAATCCACATTGAATCCAAAATCGTTCATTTTATAACAAACATACAATCCAAAATTAATGGTAAGAGCGTTTCCTTTTCATCAATCCAAGTTGATAGCACAGGGAGACGGGCAGACGAGTTCTTATTTCTAAGTAGATAAAAAAGGTTTTTGTGTGAAGCGTTCGTCAAGCTTTACGTGGCAGTCTTAGCCTTGTAATAAAGATGTATTTCCCGTGCTTACTTACCTCTCCGAATTCAGTGAGTCCGTTTGCGGCCGGCGGTTCGTTGGATGAATCAGCCCTATGGAACAAACGCAACAATACAAATAAATGGTGCGACAAAAGAAAATGGAAAGAAAGACAAAACATGTGCATTTGCCGTCTTTTGTTCGCAAGCATTGTACTTTCGCAAGGACCTCGGCTAGTTTCTTTTTTCTAGAGTCAAATGTTTGTTATATTTGTTTTTGAATTAATGTATAAATACAATAATTTTAAGAATGTTTTTATATATTAATTCAGACACAAGTGTATTTAGTATTGTATAGTAACACACTTTAAATAAATCGAAATAGGTCCCATTTCTTTGTGATAGAGGTAAAACTATGACAATTTACATATAAAACATTCATCAGCAATAAGGTCGAAATCGCCAGTTTAATAATTTTGGCATTAGAAACGTCAAGAAAAATATTAAGGCCCAATTGCACTAACGCTTTGTAATTATAATAAATTACGTTTAATAAATACTATACCATTGAAACTGGTTTTATTTAATGAATGGTGTGCGAAAACCTAAGAAACAAATATTAACTTAGTATGGTTACAGAATGTTAGTGCGAGATGGTGCAAGGGACCCTTAATATCCAATAACATTGCACTTTTGAATCAATCCGTGCATAAAGTTATCATTTCATTCCCTTGCGGGATTGGAAAAGTTCTACTATTTCATTTTTCATTGCGAAAGTGGTGCAGCATGTTATCAAATCACGTTGGTTTGTTGAAACCCTTATGGAAATTTTACAATTCTATTAATATACCAAAATCATTTCCTCATAAAGAACGACGGTCAAGAGATAATAGTCAGTAGATTGAAAGATAATAATTGGAAAAGTTGTACGATTTTCAGATCTATTGTGTTATCATTGCAAAGAATACGTTAAAAATAAAATAATCATCCGATTGGAATTCCACCTCAGGGTGTTTTATAAAAGAAAGTGACTACACAGATTCGTTGATTGAAAATGTTTGATGGTATTTTTATGGATTAAATACAAACAAAAACTAAAATAAAGCATAAAAGGCGTGGATTCTGATATTTCTAATTTGCTCTTGCTTTGTTCTGCTATATCGTCTCGTTGGTGTTATAATATTCAGTGTAATTAATTCAATTATAAATAGAGAAGGGGAAAATAACAGAAACCCTTGCTTTGATCAGCTCATATGACGTAGGTACGTGTTTGTCCCAAAAGACCAACTTCCCGTGTCGTCTAACGTCCAACAGACGCAGAACGTTTTAATAAAGTGGCACTTTGCCATGAGGCATAGAGTAAATTGAATATTCTCAAACGTATGAGAATGTCCAATTTGCAAGTGAATTGTCCGCAGCATTAGTCTGTGTCAAACACACACACCTCTGGCGCACTGTGAGCGGTTCGTTAGAACAATTTAAATATAATTTAACTTTTATAACAGTGTCGACATGGAGGAATTGTGCTACGCGTTAAAGAAGTTCGTTAATTTTGCTTTTGTTAACTGAACTTCATAAAAAAGGAGAAAATTAAATTTTATATCAAAACTTCTTTTCTTTTTATCATTTCTTTTTATCGATATAGTTATAGGTACCGAGGTTAAGTATGGTCATAGTTTTGTTTGGTATAATTTATTTTGCAATTATAGCACGTTAATGAGGAGCTCGCAAGTGGTCGATCTGCGGTCGTCGGCTGCGATCGTTGAACTTAAGCTACTTTCGCAGTGGTCGGATGGGTGACCAAAAATTACTATCTCGAGCTCCTCTGTGCTTTGGAAGGCACGTTAAGCCGTTGGTCCCGGGTGCATCAGCAGTCGTTAGCACCCACCAATCCGCACTGGGCCCGCGTGGTGGGTCATGGCCTAATCTCCCTATTCCATCTATAGGGAAGGCTTGTGCCCCAGCATTGGGGACATTAATAGGCTGACGATAGCACGTTATATGCCCCATAAAAAACTGTGTTGAACTTTACTCATACTCATTATTAAGTGGTGTTAAAACATTATTTGAATGTGAAATATCATATATTTCATCGTCAGTCCTGTGAAAACTGCGCCCATTTAAGCTCGGATTGCACAATCAACGTCGAAAACAACAATCCTTTTTGTTTTTAGTCATTGTTTCAGATTTCAGCGTGCCGCTCGTTGAAATAATTCGTGGTGTACAATTGCCTTGTTACGGCGCGTTGTTCACTCATAATAACATTTTTCGAATACTCCAGCAAAGACTGTGAGTTAGTTAATTGCAGGCAATTAAGTGGGCACATCTTGTTGGATGCGAAGGATCGAGCCACAATCAACATCACATAACAAATTCCGTTTGTTAAGACAGAAAACACAGAAATTAGGCAATTATCTATTTTTTTTCTAATAGTACCTAAGCACTACAAATTACCACAACCCACTTTTGGTATTAACTGAAAATGTAATCAGTTGCAATGGTTGCGACTCTAGCCATCGCGTGTCGTTAAACCCAGAAACTTTATTAACCAACAGAGACACAACACCACCAAAAGGTAATTATTTATACGTAACTGTGGGTTTCAGTAAGGCGGAGGTTACATCTACAAAACACACCTTTTCAAACAGCATTCTCAAATAAAGAAAATTCAATCAGCATGAGTATTAATAAAAACAATCAGTAGGATCACAGTAGGATCCTTTATTATCAACATTGTATTTTTAAAACTTTATTCATTATCTTTATTTACATTTCTGGTACTTAATAAGTAAATAAAGTTCACAATCACAGCATGTATAAATTCTTATGTACGTATTTGAGGCTGCTCTTTGATACAGCCAGTAGCACAATAAAATGTGTAAAAAAGGATACTTGGATTGGCAAACAATTTCAATACCACTTTTGTGCTTAGTGCTTTATACGGTTGTAGGTCTTTTAAGAGAGATTTGGCATAACGGATTTTCTCATAAACTAAACGCCGGTCTGGGGAAGTAAACTCCACATTACAGAAATCACAAAATAACCCCTTCGGCCGTCTACGAAACCGTAGTTTCGTAACTGGTTTCGATGAAGGAATTATTATTCTTTGAACGTAACTAATTTCGATGATTTATTCCGTACAAAGAACGGTACTTTTGGTGGTGTATTATTCTGTCAGTTAATAAGGTTCCAGGGCTCCACAGGGTATGAAATAGGGTTGGAGTTGGCAACGGTGCGAGTGATATTATTGGTATCGTAAGCGTTTATAGGCTGTGGTAGCCGCTTACCAGCTTAAGTAGAGCCATACGTTTGTTTGCCACCTTTTATTCATAAAAAAGCTTTTTTTAAGAATAAGTGTCGCCGCACACGGGCCACCGACCACAACCACAAAACGCCGTCACCGGCATATATCTTGTAGTTTTCATACATTTTATATGGATTCGCCACACACGATACGCCGGTGGCCGCCACACGCTACAAATAGTCGTTGCTCGCTTCTTGTGGCCCGCACCGGCCACTTAATGCGCCGATACAAAACGCCGCCACACGTCACTCGCGCGACTACCCACCCCTATCTCTCTTTACCTTAGTCGGCCGCTATCGCGCGCTTTAGCCACTTTAGTAGCCTTTCTAGCTTCTCTTGGCGGCGTTTGTAGCTGTGGCGTATGGCCCGTGTGCGGCGACACTAAGTTATTGGTAGATACAATCTATGCGTACGTCATGCATCGTGGAACGTATTGAATCGATTGACAGACCGGATTGTGTGATTGATTGACGGTATTCCATTGTTTTTTTATTATCAACTTACAAACACGCCGCGCTTTTGTGACATCGGTGTTAGTTCCCAAATATTATTTTACGAAACGTACAGACAGCCACAGTTCAAGTCATATTTAAAATTGATCCAGTTATCCAGCATTATTCTGATTTATATAAGATTAATGATCGGTTGAGGAAATATGATTATTTTTATAAGTTCTGTAATTAATTTATGGATGTCAAAACACTTCTGTAACGAAGTGTGCTTTTCAAAATCTTTTGAAATAAGTGACCTTTTTATATTCAGGCACTTATATAACAATATAATTTAAGTAAAAAGTGGAATAACCTACAGTAAATTTTTATTGTTTTAAATGTGTACGAATAAAAAAATGAAATATGTACGAATTTTAACATGAAACGAGTGTGTCAGACAGTACTTAGTCAGGAGGTACTAAAGAGATCTTTTCATAAGCCATGACATTTGCCGCATATTATACATAATATAACCTTAGGAACCCAACCCCTGTTCTATAAAATGTATGCGTTCCATTTAAGTCAGGACAAGTAGGATAACGGATGCTGCCTCATTTGTATGTACGGTCCTCAAGTCACAGAGTTAGTGTGTAAACATTCGCTTAGTAAATATAGCTTCGAAGAAATATTGTAAAAGGACCTCCTTACTGAAGCTGAAATGTTAGTCGTAGCCAAAATAGGTACCTTTTAAAAAGCATGTTATACATAGTTATTTATGATTTTAGTGCGGTAAGTTGGTTATTATTACAAATGAGTAGACGAATGTGATGTAATAATAATAATACAATGTTCTACCATAGTCACGAGTTTGTAAATAATAACTCCGCACGAATGTCTTGAAACGTTTTTCAATACATTTGCGGCAAAACAGTTGAAAAGATAAATGCAATGAAGCGAACTTTTCCTAATAAGAAAATGGTGCGCGTTTGCAAATGGCACTACGTAAGGGTGATGAAAATTAGAACTACCATATTTTGGGGGGGTTTTCTTTTAGTATTAGAGTTAGACAAACTACTGATGCCCACAATAGGTTTTGGTCTTATTCTTGCATTATCGTAAGACCAAGACTGACCGTGCAAGATTTGATCAAGAACAAGACTAAGCCTGCGAGACTCTTGCGTCCTGCTGTTAGGACTGAGTGTCGTTTCAGGGAGTATAGGAGTTCGGGTATACGTTTAAGGACTCTATGATACGCAAAATATATATTTAAAAAAAATTGAAAATTGAACTTAAGAGCCCTATCATATCTTGACTGTGTTAATTTTGTTGCGTAAAATGGCAATTTTTGGCGTTCTTGATCTCAAAAACCAAAATACATT